GTAAACTCGTTTGACTAAAATCTCGCTAATGAGATGGCTGTCAACGGTTTTCAGAAGATTTGGTAATGAAAAATTGATTGTTAATGGTGTGTTTTACCTGACTGCTAAGACAGCATGTGTATGCTTGTAAGTAAGTCATCGAGACCAATGGCTTTAAGTCCCCTTGAAGCGGGACTGTACTACTTGTAGCTACATCCACCCTCTATACAGCAAACATTACCTTAGCGGTATCCGTTGGTCCCCCAGGACGTCTTTTTTCTAACGTGAATTAAGAGCTGATTTGATGGGATAACCACCTATCATGAATCATGCATGGCGGTCTAATCCCTCCTGGTCAAGCTAGTGCAGATAGGATTTAAAGTATATATACGGGACTTACTAATGAGCATTCAATACCGTACCAAAGGGCACTTACTCAGTGACTTGTCTTCGAACCATTGATTTCCCGGTTACGAGACCACTGCTCTACCACCTAGCCATCACCACTCTACGAGATTAGATATTGAAAATAATATCTGAAGTAGATATCGATGAACGATAAATTAAAGAGCATTGTGTTCTAATAAGCATGATGAGTATACTAGCTGTATAATATATTTATGAAAGACTTACCTCCGGAAGAGGCGGCATGATGCACCACGAGCGCCAGACTTCCGAATACAAGACAAGCAAGGTACCAAGAACGATTCATCATCATTTGGAACGTTTTGACAACAATTGATTAAAGCCCAGAGATACTGAAGGTTTAAATAGACAGATCGCCTACTTTTATATTCATGAAGTTTCCTTGATAAACTTTCCTTCCCAAAATACCTTCCTAGAACATTGACCAGAAATGGATACGTAGCTTAAAGGCATAATCCAGACGTAAAAAGACTAACCATGAAGAAACAAGTCGTGAATAAGATTAAAATGAAAATCGCTAAAGATGGTCACTTTTAATGATCGTGAACAATATGGGCAATTTCACTACCCTCTTATAATGTATAAAGAGAACGGTTTATGATCATGTAATAGTGTCATTGTCATGTTTTAACATTTCAACACTTGGTTCGAAAGCCTATTGACATTGCAAAAGATTGGTTTTGAAAGGCTTTGCGATAGTTTGAGCTTTACAAGGTAAGTATTCTGTTATTGTTGTTGTTTATGTAGTCATCGATCATAGCTTTTGAAGTTACATGTATTACATTATCTTACGATTCCGATGCAGTCTATTTACATTTACAGCGGACGATTAATGAGGTAAAATACCTTTAATATTATTCTGTTATAGGGCAAATCAATAACTCAAGGAAATTGGTATCTCGTTGTCCGGATGTTCCTTGTGGATTTTGGAACAGGTGTATGCTCCTATATATAAGGAAATATTATTTTCTGATGTTTGTACAAGTTTTCTTCTATTGTTTGTTTAACCTGAACTATTACTCGTTTACATAAATGCCGACAAACTCTTTGAACCACACAAATCTCCCCATTCGCTTCATCTATGATCATTATTTCTTTATTGCAAACAAAACTGAAAGTTGGATTTCAAATAAAAGTCTGCTTACTGATTGTTTTTCTTCTCTCCCTAAGAGTCTAAAATAAACTAGGTTTAACCCTAAAAAGGCCTGGCTATTTGAGGTCTTAATACGCCCGGGGGGGGGGGGGGAATTATGCCCCCCTAAGATCTCGGCCTAGGAAGGTCCAATTAATGTTAACATTAGCATGGTGATATATTGACGTATATTGAATGAGATGGTTCAAAAATCTTTATTTTCTTTTATGTTTATTTATTTGTTTTAATTAATATTTTTATAACAATAGCCTATGCGTTTTTTTGTGTGGATATTTTCAAAAATGCTTGATTTTGAACAATGCATGGGCAGATTTGATTCGAAATTGCTGTTTTAGTTTAGTAATAACATTCATCAATTGAAATATAATAGTTTCTAATACAAACATACAAATTAACACATACACAGGTACAAATATGTTTGCTACATGTTGTTTTCATATGAAAATATAGTTTGTACAATATTTTGCGGGTGAAAAGCGTCAGTTTCTAATATAATTACCAATTTCTGATGTATTGTATTGTTTTTAATTTCTTATGTATTTCATTATGTGAATAAAATAATGCTTGGCCAATACTACATAGGTATAATCATGAATGAAATATAACATGAAATAAATCACTCATGATATTGATTTTGATAAAGATCATATAAATGCAATATACTTACACACACACATTTGTGAGAATTCCATATTTTGATTGACATGTGATGTATTTCGTCATTATATACACGGAAGAAATTGCTTGGCTCGATGAAATCTGTCGATCAATGTGTCTTGTAAATGTGTGCATTAAAGAGGAAGCAACATTTCACCCGAGGTAGGTCAGGGCCCTGTTTCATCAAACTTGTTATCAATAACATCTGCCACAGATCTATGACCGATCTCTTAGCCAATCAAATGCAATGATTTCAGTATCTCATTAAACAATCATTGCATCTCGTTATTGATAAGTAGTTTTATGAAACGGGGTCATAGTTTGCCTCTCTACACCCTGGGGGGGGGGGGCGGTGTTTAACAAAGATCCTAAGTCGAATTTAACTCTAAGTTGGACTTAAGAACTATTGAAAGCCGTAGGCATCTTTAAAAAATATTTTGTAAAAGTTTTTTTAAAAGGCATAAAATGTTGATTTAAATCATTCATAATTTCTATTATCAAGGAAATTTCATGTTCTTGATGTGGAATTTATGAAAAGTCTAAAATACTTGAATTGATGTTTTTTAACATGTTTAATTTTAATGCTACCGATGGCTCTCCATAATATTCAAGTCCAACTTAGATTTAAGTGTGAATTATGATTTTTGTGAAACACCCCCCTGGTGCGGTAGATGGTCAGCAAGACTTGTACACAATGCAATTCCTTAAAATGCTAGATCACTGCAATTGCAACAGTGCTAAAGGACATATAATTTAAATCACATTTATTCATCAATTTCTCAGTTTTTTTTTGTAATTCATTTCATTCTTGCCACCTTGATGAACTACGTACACACAGTATTTATTTTTGTTAAAGAGATTATTTTTAGTAGGCCTACACATTCTTGACCATCACTTGTAATTCTAAATTACTAATGCTCTTTTGCAACAACCCTCATTGTGTTGTTGTGTAATGTACAGGTGAATATGAGAATAATTCTGTACAATAAAGATTTTCCTTGAAAATGTATTTTTCTCGGCATTGTTGTGTTATTCAAGTTGTAAAGCTACATGTACATTAATCTTGAGGTCTAGGTGTGGGTTTCGTATGTCAAGAGAAAATGGCTATAATTCATTCTCATTGTTTATCCTGCAGTAGATTGATCGTTTTAACCAGTACAATAAAAGGAACCTCACAAAAATTTGATGTTAATTATCTTTTTCAAAAAACCACAACGCTCATTTGCGCATAAGGACCTGTGTTAAGCACATGGTGTTAGGCCTACATACCCGGATTTCCTTATCTTAAGCATTTGGTGTCGAGCCTTCCTTATCTTTCTAAGCTCAATACTCAGCCACTATACATTTTCTACCAAAATCGTTTGGTGCATGCCACTTATTGGTTATCTTGAACATTCTGTGTAAGTTTTCTTGGGATTCTGTGGGATTTATTTTCAATCATTACCACTACTTTTGTTTTAAAAAACGCCCCCCCTTCCCCCCCCCTCTCTCTCTCTCTCTCTCTCTCTCTCTTTTCCTCTATTGAATTTTCGCTCTCTCTCCCACGCTCTCTCTGTCTCTCCCCCATTCTGTTTCTCTCTCATTATTTCCTCATACCTCTTGATACCATGCTGATGCATTTAGTCTACCTATCTCTCAAGTTCTGTAAATTTATCGTTCGACTTTCTTCGTTGTGAATTGAACAGAGATAAAAATTGATACTTATAGTATAAAAAAAAAACAATTTATTGCAAATCACAAGAAAATCGTCCATATAAATCGATGTGAATACAATTTGCAAGCATTTATGTGTTCAGTAACATATCCGCTTCGTTTTGAATGCAATTATAATATGTATTGATTCAATGATACAATCTCTAGAATTACCCTTTTAATCCCAATGAGACCGGGGTATTTGAGATCTATTTACGGCCGGTGAAGTGTATATAACACTATAGTAATTTTTATTTTGAGAAAAATTCACTCATTTGCATATTTATGGTAATGTATGCAAACAAGGTCATAATATTCACGCATTTACACATGAATCATATCTTCTTCATATTTAAACAATCATTTTTCTGCTTACATTCTTTACACCATTTGGAATAATATTATAACAATTTTTTTTTTTTTTTTTTTGGGGGGGGATAATTTCGTATGTATTTATATTAAAGGGCAAGCCAACCCTTGTAATAAGTTGATTCGTAAGAAAGTAGAAAAATAACAGAAACAGAATAGCAAAAGTTTGCAATGAATCAGACCAATACTAGGGAAGTAAGGAATGTTTGAAATGTGAGATCACTAAGCCTATGCGAATGTCAACTTGGTAATTCGGCCAGTGGATGTGACGCAGGACTTGGATAACTCTACAATTTTTCGTGTACACAAATATCATTAATTTCTGTTTTTCTCCCTTGGGTCACTACTCAAAATTTATTATAGATAACATATTAGTAAAAGTCCTTTAAAAAGAAGAGACCATCCTATGTAATACATTTTCACATTTTAGTAATTTTATATGTTAGAACAGATGGGAAAGTAGTCCAGCACTACATCACATTTACATTACCGCCTCAGCCAATTCGAAGTGCACATACGTAACGTAAAGTGATTACTTTACAACAACAAATTCGATTCATATTTAATTTAAACTTTCACCAGTTCGCTTCCTTGATTTGTCTGCTTTCTTTTAGAGTAGTTGTCTGTAGGTTGGAATTCCCCTTAAGGTTTTTCTGTTTACAAAGAGTTCTTAGCACTGGAATAAGGGTAGTGTTGGGTAGTGTTGCTGCCCCCCTCCATCTCTCTCTCTCTCTCTCACACACACACCAACACATTATGTTATCCGTCCTATATGTATCTCTCAACCCGCGGTCAGCTCGCTATTTATAAGGACCGCTATTTATAAAAGACTGCTATTTATTCAGTCCCGCGTTATGGATAGCGGTCCTTATGAATAGCAGTCCTTACGAATAGCGGTCTTTATTGATAGCGAGCTTGACCCCTCCACTCTGACTCTCCCTTCCTCACTCCCACCCCCTCACGGCTCACGTTCCCCTATAAAGATAATTCAATAGCGTCCTCATACAGTGCTATTAACAGAATAATCCCAATTCCCGCCAAGAATCCAATATTCTGCAGAATAGCCACGGTGACCTTGTTGCTTTTTCCGTCGTATTGGTGTAGCATCGGAAGCTGAAAAAGATAAGAAAAAGGGATACTTTCTGTTATACGATGGAACCTTCTTATAAGAAGCAATGATAAAACAGGAGATCTGCTATAACAAGGTGATTTTGCTGGTCCCATCGCTTTATATATAATTATATTTGTGTTTAACCCTGATATCAAATTTGCGAAAAATATATATCTTTGGGACGATTCGGTAAGTTTATCGGGACAACTTCGGGGAAGTTCGTGCAGCTGCTTCTTACCATGTCGACGAGTCCAACGTAGAGAAACATGCCAGCGACAGAAGCGAAAATCCATTCCCGAGCCGTCTCGGTCTGTCCGAGCGGGATCCCGATCCACAAGCCGATGAATGCCGAACAAGCGCACATCATATTCATCAGGAGTGCCGTTCGGAGTCGCATGCCCTGCTTCATTAGTACGGCCAAATCACCTAGAGGGAACAAATTAGAATAGAGTCGAACAATTCATTTTAAAGGCCGGCTGCAATAGATTGATAAGGAGGGATTAGACTACCCAGGGTGGTCACTGACAGGTGGCTATCTCTTCAACTCAGCTCTCAATTAACAACAGAAAAAAGGAACACGGGGGACCAATGGTCACCGATTAGGCATTGTATATAGATAGAGGGAGCAAGTAGCTACTAGTAGTACAGTGGGGCATTAAAGTCACTGTACGCAAACATGTAATTGGACATCAATAGTATTTCGAGAGTTGCATAGTATTCATGATTGTTGATTGGCAGGTTTTTATCATTATCGTCATCACTTACATTAACCACATCACAATCATTTTCATCGTCACCATCATCACCATCATCATCATCAATAGGCCTGTTTATCATTTTCATCATCGTCATCATCATCACCTTCATCATCGGCTAAATTACACTTATCATCTGGATCCTTCTCCTCCTCCCCATCATGACAATTTTCATCAATTTTTCATCACCATCTTCATCACCACCACCACCACCTATTTTCACATTATCGTTTTAGCTATTGTCTTTATTATCATAATTATCTTAACTTTCACAATCATTACCACCCCCTTTGTCAGTATTGTCATCATCACCAGCATCGTCCTCTCCTTCACAATGAACATCATCATCATCATAATCATCATCGCCATCATCATCATTATCATCACCCCTTCTTCATGGAAAACGACGTTTATATACCTAGTTCTTAATACTAATAATAATCTTTTAAAGTCCACTCCAAATTTTATTAATTTAAGGGCCGAAAATGGAAATTCTTTTTGCCCAAATGATCATGAGCCCGGCAGATCGACGTTGCTCTATTCCTTATTGTGAACGCCAGATCGAGAACAGTTATATACTTGTTGAGTCCAGCGGCGAAGCCGAGTGTAAATGCGGTTCCTGTACGACCATCACCACAACCACTGTCATCATTATCATCATCAACATTATGATCATCATGGTCATCATCAAATTCGCCATTATAATCATCATTAAAATCACATTATTATCATCCTCATTCTAGCTACCATCCTCACTATCGAAATTGTCAATACCATCAACACCATCATCATATTCATAATTATCATAATCATCATTATTAAAATCATCTTCATCACCATCATAATCATCATTATCACCATCACCATCACCACCACCACCACAACCACCAACATCAGCATCATCAATATCATCTTACACCATCATCAACATGCATCAATACTTAGTTCGTGCGGCAGTTCGTGGCAAAAGACATTTGTACTTTTTGGAAGACCACTGGTCACACTAAGGGTGTTACCTTACCCTCTCATCAATAATCACATCACCCGAACCATAGGTCCGCCTATTTTTGGTATTAAAATGTGCGGGAGACATGAGGGGAAAAAACTTTCCACGCCAAAGGTTCAGGGGTTTTGATGCAGCGGCAGAAATTCGATAGGGGGGGGGGGCATTATGCCCCCCCGGCCTTATTAGGGTTAAGGGAATCTCACTACACTAGATGACTTAAGGTATTCTGAGATACATAGTGTATTCTCGCCTAATAATCTACAAGATTCCAAACCAAAATGTACATAACGAGAGAAGGGATAAATTTAGCAGAATGCAGAGTTTCTCAGCACGAATGTGTGTGTGCGTGTGTGAGTGTGTGTATGGTGATGAAATTTTCATTCACCTGCTTTCATCGAAGTGCATACATTAATTATTGCTAGGTAGGATAAAATGTACGGCTCGTCTTACCTAACAACACGTAATATATGCAATTTGATTCATTAATATTGAAATACAGTTATTCGTACCACGTTAAATTAATAATTTTAACGAGACACTTAACAAAGGCTTGTACATTAAATATGATTAAATTAAAAAAAAGGTCTATCGTCAGAACGAAAATTGCATGAAAAAGTTGTTGCTCTCCCTGGGTGTAGGTTCCACATACCTTTTAATGAAACGGATGAGTCGACTGCTGTATTTTTTAAATTTGTATAAATGGGTTACAATTGTTCCCCAGTTATAGATTCGTCACCAAATAGTATTTTTACCTTCTCAGCTAAGGTTTTCCATCATTGAAAAGTAGAGGTATTGTTATTGTATTGAAAATGGAATTTCAACTAGTGCTTCGTGCATGATACATGTACTGGTTCGCCTGGTACGTCACATCGTGAAGAAAATGGCTGTGTTAAAAACAACAGTTTATGGTAGTATTCAGGGTAAGTCCAAGGTTTATGAGCCTGAAAAACAGTAAAGAGTTTCGAAGACAACTTAGTAGCCTATAAAGTATTAAAGATAGATAGGAGGGGAGAGGGAGAGGGGAGAATATACATGTGTGTTTTTGTGTGTGCGTGTTTGTGAGGGAGTGAGAGTGAGATGTCTGTGTGTAAGGAAAGAAGAGAGGGAAAGATAGAAAGGGAGAGAGAGAGAGGGGGAGGGAAGGGGAAAGAGGGGATAGCGAAAGAGAGAGAGAGAGAGAAAGAGAAAGAGAGAGAGAGAGAGAGAGAGGGAGAGAGAGAGAGAGAGAGAGAGAACGAGGCCATGACTCATGAGTCGACATGAGGAAACATTTTTGCCTAGTCAGACAAGGAAGGAAAATTAATCAGACTTTTTGATGCAGACGAAATTTACCCGTACACCGTAACAATCCAAGTTGCGTCGAAACAGATGCCTACTCCAGGTTCTTGGCGGGATGAAGACACACTTATTATCTGCACCGTTGTCTAGGTAACCGGTCTTCCAGGCTTCATAATCGAATGCAGATTGATCAGTTCATCTACAGGACGAGCCAGATCGCTGGAGACCAATCCACGTTACCTGTCATGAAGATGATGGGACTATACTGGATGACACCACCTGCAATATAAAATAATATATTTGGACATCTCGCTATACAAATGACTAAAAGTAAACAAAAATCATACACTCCACCACCTCCATACCAGAATTTGAGGACTTGCGGGCATCATCTTAACTCTCTTCTGCTAAAACAGGCCGAAAATATCTTGATTTTAGATTATGCGACAGAGCGAAGCGAGCGAGGAAATAAGACACTGCATTGTCTATAAATCACCTTCAGGTTTGTTGGCGCCCGAATATACCTGTCTTTGAGCACCTGGCTGACTATTGAAATGGGTATTTCATTGTCCGGATGTTTTGTGGTTTTTGGAGCAGGTGTATGTTCCTATTTTAAGGAAGAATGATTTTCTCATGTTTTTACAAGTTTTCTTCTATTGTTGGTTTAACCTGAACTATTCCTCGTTTACACAAATGACGAAATTTATCTTTATTGTTCTTTCTATATCTCATCCTCTTTTCTTCGACTTTTTCTTTTCTCCCCTCTATTTTACGAATTGTTTCCCCCACAGAATCTATGCCGTCTCTTTCCAATTCTCCCCAACTATTAGTATGATTTCTTTACTGCAACCAAAACTTAAAGAGAAGGTTGAGTTCTGGGAAGAGGTGACAAATAATTTGTGAGCGTTATCATTTCTTATTATGCAAGTGTGGAAGAACATCAGATAAGACATGTTCCCTGAAAAGCACGGCTTTTCAAATGCCTTTATATTCTAAATATGTCATGTAACATCGTAAAACTCGGGGGTAGGATTTTTACGCCACGTTTTCGTGTAGTCCCATATACATCTTTCTGTGTACAGTGTTTGTAACTTTATCAAGATTTGGCCAAATTTCTTATCATTTTGATGATTCCAGAACCTTGCAATAAACACAAATTCTTAATTGCTAGATGATCGACCTTTTCTGGTCGATTCCACACCGTTTCTTTCACAATGCAATCGCATGACCAGAACTCAACTTCATCTTTAATTTTGAATTTCATATAAAAATCTCAAATCTCTCAGACCAGCCCTATCTCTTTCTACTTTATTAATCACCAATCTTCCCCCTCTCGTCTGCTCACTAATTGTTCTCCTCTCCCTACGGGTCAAACACAAACTCTTAGGCTCGAATTCAAAAAGGAGGTTTGTCGACAAACCAAGGTTTTCGTGCGTCAGACGCGTTTCGATGCGTTTTTACAAACAGGTTTCGACAAACCTCCTTTGTGAATTCGGGCCATAATCTCCTGCCGTGCGAAATCTCTGTCAATTACCTAATCTCTCTGGCGTTTTGTTCAGATATATCATAATAAGCGGAGGGCCAAAGTCAGACAAGAGGGGTTTGAAAGCAGCTTTAGGCTTAATATGAGCAATTGCTCTACCCTACCGTATTGTATTTAAAAATCAGTTTATGGTTATGTAATAATGTCATTGTCACGTTTGAATATTTCTACATTTTACACAGGCTATTGAAATTGCCAGAGTTTGGTTTTTGAAAGTCTTTGTGATCGTTTTTAGGCTTTACATGTTTATTCACTAGTAAGTATCCCGTTGTTGTTGTTTTTGTTTAAGTCCATAAGCATAGCTTTCGAAATTACATGTATTACATTATCTTACAATGCCGATGCAGTCTGTGTATATTTCCAGCGGACGATAAATGGCGCTTCATGTACAATAGTTACACACGAAAATACCTTTAACATTATTCCGTTATAGGGAAATTAATCAATAACCGAAGAAAATACAGTATTTCGTTGTCCAAAAGTTTCTATGGTTTTTGAAGCAGATGTATTTTCCTACATTTAATTTTTAAAAAAGTATTCCTCGTTTTCATAAATGACGAATTTCTCTTCAACGTTCTTGTTATGTCTCATCCACTCTTCTCCGATCTTTTCTTTCCTTTCCTCTTTTTCACGAACTCTCTCACCCACAAAATCTCTCAATTCTCTTTCCAATTATCTTCATCTATTATCATTATTTCTTTATCGCAACTAAAACTAAAGGTTGGATTCCAAATAAAAATCTGAAATCTAAGATCTAAAATCTCTCAGGTCATAATTTGCTTTCATTTTGACTCCCTATGTCTTTCTACTTTATTAATAACCAATCTGTCCCCCTCTCTTATGATCTCTAAACTTTCTCCTCTCCCTACGAGTCAAACAAAATGTCTTAATCTCTTGCGAAATCTCTGTCAACAACCTCATCTCTCTGTCATTTTATTCACATATGTCACAATGCTAATTTTGATGCAATAAATTTATCTTTGTTAAAACAAAGGCGATATTGGTGTAGATCAAAACTACAATATATAATAATGCAATCGTGTTATCAAACATACCTACTCGCATCAATAGTATCATGTTTACAATACAAATGTAATTTGTTTGAAATATATTCAAGAGATTGAAGTAACAAGTCATTCAAACTCCAATATCTACTATGGAATATTGTTCACTCCTCATACCTCTCTAGTTCCATATTGTGAAATATTAAAACAAAAGACCAAAGATGGTGCATATAAAAAAGCCCCAAACTGAATGAATCTATTCATTAAGAATCATAAATAAAGGTTACTTTTAGAAGGGACCAGGAAAATAAAAATATTAACAATGCGACCATAAATACAAACATACCCACTGACATCTACATACAGTCAATTCGACACTGATGTCGACATTGATGTGTACAAGATACAGAAAACAATTTATCAAAATTCCGAGTCCTTTTGACATATCCTCTTAGAATTAATATTTTAGATCGGAAATGATCAAAACATAATCCAATAAAAAAAAAGGATTTTTTTTTACATTATTCATAGCAACAATTCTATGGAATCCATTAATTTTTTAAAATTGTAATTATTCGTTTGATTTAAACAGGGTAACTCTTTCAGTATTAAATACAGATTGTTTTCCTGAGAGGCCCTGTACAAATTATAGGTTACAAATACCGAGGAAATTGAACAAAGTTTAAATACATATGTATTACGAGAGATTTATTGTATTCTTGCCTACTAATCTACAAGATTCCCAACAAAAGTGTATGAGAGAGGTATAAACTTAGCATATAATGCAAAGTTTCTCAGCACGACACGGGAATCTCCCTTTTGTTGATAACGTGACGTACTATACGCAAAGTCGTTTATCAAGAAAGTATATTCAAATTTATGGATGCTTCCTGCCAACGTGGGTGTGTGTGTTACCTGTTATCATATTTTGTACTATTATAGACCAATATCGTTTAATCAAACTTCATGCACACATCATTGTAAAGTGCCTCGTTACAAACTATTTCATTCACCTGTTACGAATAATTGTATTTGAATAGTCAGCATGCGAATTGCAACATTAATTGTTGTTTGGTAAGACACATATTATGCATGGCTCATCGATAAACCTCCTACAAGCACACACCCCTAAAATAGTTATCGGCCCATGCCTCTCCTATTATTTTTTCTCTCTTCACTTGGGGATGAGGAGGTGCACGTTTTTCGGGTGCCCCCTGAATCCACCACTGGCCTTCCTGATCGATTTGGATTACCAAATGTGAGTTTAAATAATCCCATTTTGTTGAAAGGCTTTACTCTTACTCCTATTTAAGGTATGGTGACCTTGTAAATATGTAATTTCCAGAGCAATAAGCCAGTTGGTAGATAAGATAATGCGCATTGGCAGATTAATATAATTTGTACCAGCATTATAAAACCCATTTCAGAAATGTATGTAGTAATCATTCGTTTATGCACTGACATGAAATTCTATGGAACACTGGTGGAATTATTCTTTTCAACACAGCAATCAAAATGTATTCATGAAGTAAATCTATTACTTTTGCGGTGATAATTCTAAATTGCACGAAATGGGACTACTCCATTGGTAAAAGATCTGAGGATATTTGGGATCATTATTATTGATATATGGAAACTACGAACTGGTCTATTTTGCGGAAATTGTTGGTCTTAAAAAAAAAGTTTCCTCAAAGAAATTCAGAAAACAGACATCTTGAATTTTTCTGATTAAGAATGAATTCTAACATATATTAATATTATAATCTGTAGGGGTTTCGAATTTACTCCGAAAAAAAGTATAGAAAAGAAATGCAAGAACCCCAAGCCTCCACCACATTACACCCTCCTCAAATTTTAATGTAGAACCGCTCATGCCGTAATAAAAAAAGTTAACATTAATGGTATAGTTAAGTCCGACTATTTAGCCCACCCGATAAGCCTGATGCCCCCCTCTTCCCTACCAGTCGCCACTCTACCCTGGTCCCTTGGCCTTCATAGCTTGGCCTACTTCCTACCAGTACACAGTGAAGTGCAGCCAATAAACGGTGTAGAGCTGTCTTGATCACTGCTTATATTGAAAAGACGATCATCAGTTATCACTGCATTTCTTCCACGTTTAAGCTCAACACAGACGTTGGCATCGTCACAGTTTAAAGACGGATCAACGAATGTATACACGACGTCCCGGAAGATGAATTGATTTCCTTTGATGTACCACTGCGATGCTTGATCAACATTGAGAACTTGCTCGGTGAAACCTATCCTGGTGTGACTGAGAGTGACCAAAGTGAATGCAAAATGAACAGTTAATATACAGACTTGTATTACTTCGTATATAAGCTGGTTGCATGCATACACTGGCTTGATTTCCGCGAGGATCACAGCAATGATGATAAGCGACAATAATGACCTTTATCCCCGAGTTTCTGTCCTTATGATTTTGCAACTTATGTCACAATTTTGCTGTAATATAATTTTAACATCATTTTCAAATCAAGACCAATGTAACATACACTCAGGGCGGCCGAGCGACTTCCAAAGTGTGGGGGGGGGGGGGCACCAAGAAAAAAAAGGACACTTCCGAGAAAAAGAGCACCTACAAACGTAAATGTCAAAGCGAAAATATCCATTCTTTTAGACATCAGGGATGATTTCGATATTTGTTTCACTTTATACACCCTACAAGCATCATGCTTTGCAGTTTGATTTGATTGTCTAAAAAAAAACAATGTTTGCGAGCGAGCGAGGAAAACAATTAAGATGTGTGAGGTTGCAGTGCGAAAAAATACATTTTATAAACAGGAAAAAAACACACAATCCTAATGGGATTATAAGTACTGGGGCTAAGTAAGTTCTCATATCGGAAGGCTGAAAAGACCTTTGATATGTTACATAATTATATCATCTATAGATGCGTGCGAGCGTAGCGAGCGAGCTTTGGGGGAAATTGCTCTTAATTGCTTGAAATTAGCTAGGGCGCGTTTAATGATGAAAGGAAAAGGGGACACTTATCAGGAAAAAAAGAGGAGCATGTGTCAAAGTACAAAGAGTAACTATCAGAGGTGAAAATGGGGCACTTCTTACACCCTCAAAAAGAGACACTCACCAGGAATGAAAAAAGTAAATCATGAGAATAGGAAATGGGCATTTGTCGACGGAAAAGGGGCCCCATCAGATGTTGATAGGGGCATTTATAAGATATTATTATATATTGTTAAAAGGGAAATTATCAGAGGTGAAAAGAGGCACTTATCGCATCTGAAAAAAGACAATGACCAGGTATGAAAAGGGCTCTTATGTGAATGAAAAAAGGGCACTTGTAATAAAAGAAAATGTGCATTAGTTAAAAGAAAATGGGCACCGATTAGATTTGAAAGGGGCGTTTATCGGAGTTTAAGGGGGCACATAACAAGAGTGAAAAAGGAGTTACTTCTCGTACCCGAAAAGGACCATTTACCAGAGAAGGGGCACTTATGAGAAGGGGAAGGGGCTCTTTTTAATAGGAAACTTATCATTAGAAAACGGGGCACTCATTAGAAAGGAAAAAGGACACATGTGAAAATATAAGGTGCGCTTATCCGAGTTAAAATGGGGTTAGTTATTAAAAGGGGACGGGTCACTTCTTACAAAGGAAAAGGGGCACCTGTCAAAGTAGATGAGGCACGTACCTCTCAGATTTGAATAGGTCAATTATCAGAGGTGAAGGGGCACTTATCAGAAGTGAAAAAGGTATTTATCATACCTAACTAGGGGCACTTACTACATATTAAAAAGGGCACTAATGAGAATGCAAAATGAACACAAAGGGAAATGTGAACTTGTCGAAGGGGGGGGGGGGGCGCTGTGCCCTCTGCCAACTCCCGAGAGGGTCGCCTCTGCATACACTCAATACACACGTATGAATTGAAGCATATAGAAGATACTATTGTAAATAGCCAATATCAAGTATATAACAGAAATAAAAGAAACGTAATTTTTTGGCGCATGTTTTATGACTCTTCGTCTGTTTCTGTGAGGATGTCGCAAGCACCTACCTTTTATTCTTTTTCTTATGAGCAATCCAGGCAGACAACTCCCAGAGAGATTCGCCTTGCACTGTCGTACTTCTTGCATCTCTAAATTTGACTTCTACTGCAAGAACTATTGTTGCGTCACCGTCAGATGTCACACTACGTTGACTTTGAATGGTAGGGTTGACATTACGCACCGTCACGTCTGGTATGAATCAGGATTTAAGAAATAGATTTCATGACTTGTTTATTATGATCATGATACGAAAAAATAAGGGTAAAGGGGGGGGGGGTAGGGTGAATAAATGTTGGATGCTAAAACATTTGAGTTTGGCATGACTGATATGAGTCACATTATTCAGTTTGATATCCCTGTTGTAAAAGAGGCGTCAATAGTGACGTAATACTGTGTCAGCACGCAATTTGCGCGGTGATTGGCGGAGCAATGTGACAGTGACAACATAATAAATTGCGCCCATGACATTTATATGCATGTCCTTTGGCTAATTGCTTTCATCAGTTTGATTAACATCAGTAATAACGCAGTCGAAATGACGACACTAGAGCAACGGGAAAATTAGACATTTGAAAAAACACACAACACATACTTAGCACTTTGGCAAAAAAAGAGAAGGAGATGTACCCATAAAAAAAAGAGACGTCAATGAAAAGAAGAAAAGATAGCAGAAAATAAGCAGATATAAAGATAGAAGAACAGGAATAAAGATGTTAGACAAGAGCGCCAGAAAAATAAAGAATTTTTCGTGCTCCTCCCTCTCCCGATCAATTTGAAAACCCCAAATTTGAAACAAGTAATAGTTGAAGAATCCCGAAATCAGACAAAATTTAGCAGATTTAAGTGAATTTAATACTGCTTCCGGGGTTATTCAGCCCACCCAATGATGACCAATATTTCTTGTGTTCCCCCCCCCCTCGTTCCCTGTCAGTCGCCTCTTCAACTTGGGCCCCCGTAGCTTGGCCTACTTCTTACCAGTACATAGTGAAGTGCAGCCAATCAACGATGTAGACCTTTTGGGGAGACTGCTAACATGGAAAGGACGATCATCGGTTGCTACTGCATTTTGTCCACGTTTAAGCTCAACACAGACGTTGGCCTCGTCGCAGTTTAAAGGCAGAGCACTGGAGGGATACACGACGTCCCGAAAGATGAATTGATCTCCTTTGATGTACCACTGCGATGCTTGATCAACATTGAGAACTTGCTCGTTGAAATCCAGCCTCGTGTTACTGAGAGAGAACAAAGTGAATGCAGAACGAATAATTTACATACTGACTGTATTACTGGTATATGAGCTGGTTGCATGCACCCACACGCTTAATTTCAGCGAGGATCACAGTGATTAAGCTCGCATTTCCCATCCCAGGCTCAGGTGACACCAAACCATAAACAGTTGTACTATGATTTTTAAGATATTAAATAATTTCACTCCGTCTTATATGTCTAATAAAATCAAATATCGCACGTATAATTATTAATTTCGCTCATCCCGAAATCTAGATCTCCCTAAACCGAAATAATTGCAAAAGAACATTCTTCTATAGGGGGCGACACAATATAATCAACTACCAGAACACATCCGAAATGTAACTACATTAAGATCCTTCCATACCCTAATAACTGATATTTTTTCTTAACACACTTCCTTAAACTCAAATGATTTTGCATAACTGCGCGCGCGCGCGCGTGTGTGTGTGTGTGTGTGTGTGTGGATTTATGAGTGCTGTATGTCTTTCAAGTAATTCATGAAGGAAAGTAAAATGCCCATAGGTTTCAGATTAACATACTTCAGGACATAATTTAATAATAATGATTATAATCAAAACGTACTTTTTAACATAAAAGCAAGGTTACCAAAGTATATTACAGTAATAATAGACACCTTTCTTTTGGCTCAGGTTTTAAGATCCTTGTTCTGTTTCTTTAAGGATGTCGCAAGCACATACCTGTGAGTAGTGTTTACAGGAGCAATCCAGGCAGACAACTCCCAGAGAGATTCACCGCTCACTCCTGTCTTCTTTCTGGTGTCTCTAAATTTGACTTCTACCGCAAGAACTAGTGTTGCGTCACCGTTTGTCGTCACATTGCTTTTACTCCGTATGGTAGGTTTGACTTTACGCACGGTCACGTCTAGAATGAATCAGGATTTAAGAAATGGACTTGATGACTAGTTTATAATTATCATGATACGAAAAAAAGAGGGGGAGGGGGAAATGAAAATACGTTAGCTGCTGAAACATTTAAATTTGGCATGTCTGAAATGAATGAGTCACTGTATTCAGTTTTATATGCATGTTGCACAAGAGGCGCCATTAGTAATGTAATACTGCGTCAGGGCGCTATTTGCGCAGTCTTTGGCGGAACATTGTTGAGAGTGACAAAATAAACATTGCGCCCATGGCATTTGATAAATAGTCTTTGGCTAATTGCTTTCACCAGTTTGATTAACCTCAGTAATAACGCAGATGAAACGACGACACGTGTGCAAAGTGAAAGTAAGACGTTTGGAAAACACACAACATAATTACGCATCACTCCGGGAATTGAAGATGACGTGACCTTGAAAAAGAGAGGCCAACGAAAAGATGAGAACACAGCAGAAAACGAGCAAATATAAAGAAAGAAAAGTAGAAAAAAAGATCTAGAGAAGATAACATAGTGACATGGGGGTATTTTTTTGTTACCCCCCCCCCCCCCCCTCCCCCTCTCGATTAACTTGGAAACCCCACATTTGTAACAAATTAATAGTTGAAGAGTCTCGGAATCAGGCAATCTAGTTGGATCTATGTATTGTAGTAGTGAATTTCGCGACACAGTCCCACATATGTGTGGTCATATGAGAGCGGGGGGGGGGGGGGGGGGTGGGGGCTATCAGAAGACTTACCGTACGGACAGAAAGCGCAGCATTCTCCTGGCCGTTCAAGGGGTTCAGCGCAGAATACCGGTCGACACGATTCAATATTGCATGTTGTAGTGCCGTTATCACACGTACATGTTTCGCAAGGGCCTATGTCCCACACTTCGCCGTGAAGAAACGGAATTCCACGATATATACACGGGAGCACAGGTTCAACGCTGCTAAGTGATACAGAAAAAGAAGATTCTTCGAAAAGAAAAGTCAAGGAATAAATTACAGAAATTATTTTTAGTTCTTCTTTTTCTTCGTCCTTTCGAACAAAATAAATCGGTTATAGTGTTCAATTCAAATCAGTTCAATAAGGGTTTAATTTTGACAATTCTATATTCAAAAGCTGAAATGCACATCATTTACAATTTCTCAGTATTATTAATATTCCATATTCCACATATTCCCCAAATTAATCAAGTTTAAGACAAATATTCACAATGATTTGAGAAGATAATGAACAGATTGAGAACATCAAAGTAATGTAAATATGTGGAGGGGTCTACTAAGAAGCTTATAGCTTGTAATATGTCAACCCCTGACTATTAAAAAAACATTGTATGGTTTAATGAAGCAAATTAACAAGAATAATAAAAAAAAATAAAACAACAAACACCATAATAAACACAGACGATTTATACAGATACATTTACCGTACGAGTAAAGAGAGTCAAAATCAGTAATAAATTTGTAAATAACATTTTACATTACAGTTAAAATTACATTATAGCATTATCTATTGCATTCAAAAGCATGCTTATCAAAATTATCACATGCAGTGTGTACATTTGCGTGATGAAATAGATCTGACCATTTTTCATGGATCAAATCATTTTTTGAAATATTCTATATTATGGAGTGTTTCTGTCCTATACATTATTCATTTGTTTGAGTTGTCGGTGACCAAATTATTTCAACATGTAGCAAAGATGGGAACATGATATAATATTTCTGAATAAAGTAGGCCACTAGTATTAATTTTTATAAAGACGTGTTTGAAAATATATTATCGTTTAAAGTTTAAGAATGATAATGATTCTCAGGCGTTTGAACACATCACATTAAGAATTTTTTTCAGAAATACCTCATGCGTTCAGAAGTATAAATACAAAATTACATTCACTTGAGAGAACAATGCTTGCGAAATATGTTAACATCTCAATATTTGTTTATTTTGTCAATTCTTGATATAAAATGATACATGTACATGATTAAAATATATAATTTAGATATTTTTTCCAGTAAATAAAACTGGGTAAAGATGGACTGAATACTGTTATTTTGAACCAACTATTAAAAAAATATACCTACCAGTGTATGAAAACAGGTGTATGAATATATTCATTTTACGATTGGGGGCTTACGGTAACACCAATTGCGTTCAGAGGAATTAAAGAAAGGAAAAGGAAGAGATGGTAGTTGAAATAATTTTTTATAAAACATTTAAAATGGAAATAGAAAAGAAAAGGAAAGGACGGAAGGAAGGAGCATTTGAGAAGGTTGTGAGCAGATCCAACAAGTTGAAGAATGAAGAGTATTGCGTGTAGTTTTCCGTGAATACTCGCTAACCATGGAAATCTACAGAGAATATCTGAATTTCAATTCGCATATGGGTTTCGGTGGTCAAGTTCCTTAAATGTCCCCTTTATGTTTTGACCAAACACATCCTAAATTCTAACACGTACACACGAGAAGGTATTTTAGATTCTATACGTTAAGATGCAGGCTGGATTAAATAAGACTGCGTTGAAATAATGAGAGAAATAAATAATGGCATCAGTACATCAATTTAAAAACAAGCTATCATTTGTAATATTTAGCTTCATCTAATATCATTTTGATACATCAATTTCAACACGCTTGCTGAAAGGTTTGATTAAAGGAAAATCAAATCTAATTGCAAACTACTCTAGAAGAAAGCAACAAAATCAGAGAAGCAGACTGGTGAAAATTTAAACGAAATTTGAGAAAAGATGAGAAACTTAAGTATTTTGGAAGTTGTTATATTACTATAAGTATAAGCTCTTCAAATTTGGTGAACCGGTAATTTCTCTATTACACATAATGAATAAACAAAATATTAAAAATCGTTATTCTTTTTAGAGAACCTGTACTAGTAATTATGTTATCCATAATATATTATGAGTAGTGCCCAAGAGAGAAGGCGCTTAAAAAAAAAAAGGAAACATATTATAATTTTGTACACGATAAACGGGAGAGTTATCCGCGACTAAATCAAAACCCAGTGACGAAATTTTAGATTCGCATAGATTCGGTGATCTCATATCTCAAACATTAATAACTTTCTTATTGTCGATCCGATTTAAGTCAAACTTATTCCATTCTGTTTTTCTTATTTCCCGTCTTTCATACGATGTTTGATTCGATTGAACGGAGTTTCAGCCATTGATTTGGGGGATGTATGCATTTGGAGAGAAAAAAAATGTTGCTTGAGAGTTGGGCATTCATCTAAAACGGAGTGAATAGCGCACAATTTTTTAATTTACCCGATTGGTCGGCATGAAGTTGAGGAATTGTTTTTCCAACTATTTCTAGGGTGTCAGCGTTAAATAGCTACTGGAGAAATGTACATCTGTAAACTCTTTTGACTAAAATCTTGCTAATGACATGGCTGTCAACAGTTTTCTTAAATTGGTAATATTCCTTCGATTCAACATCAAGAGTTTCGGTAATGACAAATTGATTGTTTTATGGTGTGTTTTTACCTGATTGCTAAGAAAGCATGTGTATGCTTGTAAGTAAGTCATCTAGACCAATGGCTTTAAGTCCCCTTAAAGCGGGACTGCACTTCTTTTAGCTACTTAACTGAACCCTCTATAAAGCAAACAATGCCAGCTGCACTGCTAAAGCCAGGGTAATTATGCTGCATTATTGTAGAGCGCTTAGAGACTTCTGACAAAGTAAGTGTTAGGCGCTATATAAGCACTGTAATTATTTATTTATTTACCCGTTGGTCCCCCATGATCCCCTTTTTCTTATATTAATTGAGAGCTGATTTGATAAGATAACCACCTGTCAGTGACCATGTATGGACGTCTAATCTCTCCTGGCCAAGCTAGTGCAGACAGGATTTAAAGCATATATACAGGACTTACTAATGAGCATTCAATACCGTACCAAAGGGCACTTGCTCAGTGACTTGGCTTCTCACCTTTGATCTCCCGGTTACGAGACCACTGCTCTACCACTTAGCCATCACACCTCCATGAGGTTAAGTATTGAAAATAATATCTGAAGTAGATATCGATGAACGATGAATTAAATAGCACTGTGTTCTAATAACCATAACGAGTATACTAGCTGTATAATATAGTTATGAAAGACTTACCTTGGGAAGAGGCATGATGCACCACGAGCATCAGACTTCCGAATACAAGACAAGCAAGGTACCAAAAACGATTCATCATCATTTGGAGTGTTTTGACAACAATTGATTAAAGCCCAGAGATACTGAAGGTTTAAATAGACATATCGCCTGCTTTTATATTCATGAAGTTTCCTTGATAAACTTTCCTTCCCAAAATACCTTCGAAGAACAATGACCAGAAATGGATACGTAGCTTAAAGGCATAATCCAGACGTAAAAAGACTAACCATGAAGAAACAAGTCGTGAATAAGATTAAAATAAAAATCGCTAAAATGGTCACTTTTAATGATCGTGAACAATGTGGGCAATTTCACTGCCCTCTTATAATGTATATAGAGATCGGTTTATGATCATATAATAGTGTTATTGTCATGTTTTAACATTTCAACACTTGGTTCGAAAGCCTATTGAAATTGCAAAAAGATTGATTTTTGAAAGGCTTTGCGATAGTTTAGCTTTACAATGTAAGTATTCTTTTATTGTTGTTGTTTGTGTAGTCCGTGATCGTAGCTTTTGATTTTACATGTATTACATTATCTTACGATTCCGATGCAGTCTATTTACATTTACATCGGACGATTAATGACGTAAAATACCTTTAATATTATTCTGTTATAGGGCAAATTAATCAATAACTCAAGGAAATTGGTATCTCGTTGTCCGGATGTTCCTTGTGGATTTTGGAGCAGGTGTATGTTCCTATATATAAGGAAATATTATTTTTTGTTTTTTGCACAAGTGTTCTTATATTGTTTGTTTAACCTGAACTATTACTCATTTACAAAAATGCTGACAAACTTTTTGAACCACATAAATCTTTCTATTCTCTTCATCTATGATATTTCTTTATTGCAAAGAAAACTTTTAGATGAATTTTAAATACAAGTCTGCTTTAATATATACTATTTTCCTCCTCTCCCTATGAGTCTAACACAAACTATTCATCTCTGTTTGCTACATGTTGTTTTCATATGAAACTATAGTTTGTACAATAATCTGCGGGTGAAAAGCGTCAGTTTCATTTATATATATATATATATAATTACTAATTTCTTATGTTTTGTATTGTTTATAATTTCTTATGTATTTCATTATGTGAATAAAAAAATGCTTGGCCAATACTAAACAAGTATAATCAGGAATGAAATATAACATAAAATAAACCACTCATGATATTGATTTTGATAAAGATCATATAAATGCAATATACTTACACACGCACATTTGTTAGAATCACATATTTTGATTGACATGTGATGTATTTTGTCATCTAACACCCGAACCATAGGTTCGCCCATAACAAATTTGGTATAGGATTTCCTGGCCAAATTCGCGAGTTTGTGATTCTAATTAATTTTTCTTGCGTTCAAATTCGACGGTTTTAGTGCAGTCAGGTATATCTCGGGTTTATATTCCCTTTTCTAGTTTTCAAATCTATGGAATTTTCGTTAGAATCTACGTATGTTTCATTCAAGTTAATGAACAATGTGCTTCTTTCGCTATTTGGTCATTCGATTTGGCGCAACACGATTCTTTGACAACACGACGGTGTACTTCTAGCATTCTAATTTATTTGTAGCATTTAAATTAGCACTTTGTGCACTTAAATTGATGGTCAATATACCTTTCTCGTTTATTACACACTATTTATAGCTCATTTCTTTTCTTTCAACATTGTTTTTTCATGTGTATTTCATCACATTTCATTTTCTTGCATTCATACACTTATACTTATTAGATTTATCTGATATTCATCAGCATTTAAGTTTGATCGTTAAGAAGAGAAAAAAAGGACTTGCATCTGCGGACCTGATGGTCTCAGTATATTTGTAAATGTTCATGTAAGGAAGTTGTTTATCTTAGGGGCTCTCTGGGAGCAGACGTGCGTGGGTTCGAATGCATTTTGGAAACAGGATTGTGTCTGGGCTACGGTCTACATTATTGTATACACTACTGTAACAAGATTGTTCATGTATACTGCCTCGCTCGGGTGACCTCGTTCAATGACCTCGTTTAATGGCCTCAATATTTTAAAGTGACTACTGTCTCATCTCTTTGGTAAAAAATTAATTTGCTTGCTGTATTTGCTATTTTTGCTTGTTTCACGTTGTATATAATCATCTTATGTTAAGGCTTCTTGCCCATATATTATTACTGTTACGTCCTCTACCATTACAACTACTTCAATCAAATGTTAGTTTTATTTATGGGAACCTATAATCTACAAGCTAAGCTTTTTAATAGGTTCCTCACATTTCACTCTGTATAACCTTATATTCATTACAATTAATTTCGACGTCTTTTCAAAGAATTAATTATATAATGTGACACTTTTAGCATATTTCATATTATGTTCTATTTTTGTCAATTATGTAAATTCTTTTTATTTGTGAAATGTGAAATAAACTTGAAACTTGAAACTTGAAACTTGAAACTTGAAACTTATGTTTCATTATAAATTTATCATAATTTCATCATAATTTCAAAAAGGAAGAAGGATACAATATTGTGACTGGGGTAGGGACTAGAGTTAATAATTTGAACATGATTCATTATTAAGCCATTTCTTTAGCCATCGATCTGCTGGCGGGCAAGTAAACTATGAAACTCTTTAGGAAAACAGAGGGGTGTGCTGGGTATAAGAGACGATATGAATTACTTTTGTAAAATTCCGAGTCTGTAGTGAGGGTACCCCCAACTTTCCCGGGTATATGAAAATGTCCGTGCAGAAATGCCATATCCCTTGATTCTGCCCCTTCTTTACTTTATGTCTGACTACACCCATCTGCATTGTCCTGAAAATAAATAAATGCAATAACTGCTTAGACCCCGATGGCAAATCATGCATTTTAACTGCATTATTTAAAAACTGTAAAAGTTTGTTGCAATCCTTCCCCCTAACATTCCTAACTTGAATAAAAGTATTACGAATACGAATGACAGGTGTAATAATTTGAATGATAAAAATTACGCTTCGACAAGTGAATATTAATTTGAATGCTAGTTGAGCAGCTTCTAAATTGAATGACAGATCTATGAAACCCTTCGACCAAAATCCTAAATTAAAAACAAAAACTGGAAAATTGAATGATAATTGGCATGGCAAAGCCGATCTGCGCTAACTTAAATGCAAAGTAAATGAATTCGAATGACAAACACGCAATTTGGCAGGGAAATCCTATATTAAAATGTGTGGGAGACATGGGGAAAAAAACTTTTAGCGCCAAAGGTTCAGGGGTTTTGATGCAGCGGCAGAAATTAGACAGGGAGGGGGCATTATGCCCCCGGCCTTATTAGGGTTAAGGAAATCTTACTCCAGGAGATAACTTAAGGTATTCTGAGATATTTATTGTATTCTCGGCTTATAATCTACAAGATTCCAAACCAAAATGTACATTACGAGAGAGGTAGCAGAATTAGCAGAATGCAGTGTTTCTCAGCACGAATATATGTGTGTGCGTGTGTGTGAGGGAGTGAGAGTGGGATATATGTGCGTGATGGAATAAGAGAGCGAGAGAGAGAGAGAGAGAGAGGCCATGACTCATGAGTCGACATGAGGAAACAATTTTTGCCAAGTCAGACAAGGAAGGTAAATTAATCAGACTTTTTGATGCAGACGAAATTTACCCGGACACCGTAACAATCCCAGTTGCGTCAGAACAGATGTCTACTCCAGGGTCTTGGCGGAATGAAGACACGCTTATTTTCTGCACCGTTGTCTAGGTAACCGGTCTTCCAGGCTTCATAATCGAATGCAGATTCATCAGTTCATCTACAGGACGAGCCAGATCGCTGGAGACCAATCCACGTCCCCTGTCATGAAGATGATGGGACTATACTGGATGACACCACCTGCAATATAAAATAATATATTTGGACATCTCGCTATATAAATGACTTAAAGTATACACAAATTATACATTCCGCTACCTCCATACCCGAATATGAGGACTTGCAGGCATCACCTTGCACGGGATTATCCTCTTCCTGAACAGCGAGTTTAGCCAAAGGGAAAACTCTCATCATTGGATTTTTATATAGATATAATGGATAATTTTTAATGGATATATATTCGAGTACTCTTCTGCTAAAACAGGCCTGAAATCATCCCGATTCTAAATTCGGAGACAGAGCGAAGCGAGCGAGTTAATAAGACACTAACTTTATTGTCTATAAAATGTTATTTCCTTATCAAACACACACTTTCGGGTTTGCTGACGCCCGAATATGACTATCTTTGAGCACCGGTAGCCGAAAAACGCTGGTCCAAGGCATTTCAACATGGCGTCCCATATGCGTTACTAAGAAAATTAGATCTTAAAGGGCAAGTCCACTCCAAAAATAGATTACTTTCAATAGAAGCAGAAAAATCAGAAAAATCAATAAATAAAAATTGAGCAAAATCGGATATCTAATAAGAATGTTATGAATTTTGGAAAAATTCTGTAAAACTATGGAACAATGAAAATCACAAGACAACTTGGAAATTCACTCATGAGTCTGTGACGTCATGTCCTCACTATCCACTAATTGTTTTCTTTATATTGATGATATAAATTTCCTTTTTTCCCCCTAAAAATCTTTTTTCTTCACACCAGCATACAAGTTAGATTGATAGTAATATGATTTTGTGTGGATGCACCAATATAGAGTAATTTTTTTCTTCAGTTAAATCATGAAAAATAAGACTTTTGATAAACTATTTTAAAAATAAATAATTATGAATAGACTAGACAATATTCAGAAAATTCATACAAGATTTTGTGCAATGTCATGTACGCAATATGATACAAATCATAAAACCTGGGCAAAGGCATGGGGAAATCAAGTTTTTGAGGATAAAAATAGAAATTAAAGGGATTAGACTATATAAAGCAATAGATAAATAGTGAGGACATGACGTCACAAACTGATGAGCAAATTGGCAATTTGTGTAGGGATTTCCATTGTTCTATAGTTTTACATACTTTTTTAAAAATTCATAACTTTCTTATAAGTTATCTGATTTTGCTCAAACTTTTTTAGATTGGTTCGGCTGATTTTTCTGCTTCT